GGATACGATGGCGATTCGGTGGGTCTGTGATTGACTGCGTCACACCTGCCTGTGTATCACTGATCATCATGTTGGATTGAATTCCAATCGAATAAAAGCTCCCACTCAAAATCAAATCACGTCAAGAGCAAAATCCCCAGTCTCCATACACCACAAAACCTTGCACTGATTACCTTGAATGGAACATTCAGAAGGATCAGAACGTCGTGTGGATGAAAGAAAAGATCAATGTCACCTCGCACTAACAACGAACAACTCAATTGTGCATTTCTGTGTCCCACAACTTCGTTACCGGGATTTGTGGCCACGCACAATGGTGGCGATCCCATTCCACGCAAAGCGGTATTAAAGCTCCTAAAATTGACAGAGATCGCGACCGGAGGTTCTAACGGATTAATTCCATAAGGTCTTTCCGATACATCTTCATTGCATCGCTTTTCATGTTTGCCCCAACCACACCTGCTTGAAGGACTGGAATCTTCCGGTCGCCCAGTTAATTCACTAGCAAGGTCAGCAGATTATTTTCGTGAATGGAGCAAAGCATAAGGTATCTTAGGCAGAAGTCCTGTTCATTAGTACACGTACTAATTTGCCGTTCTGCGAACATTTCTTTTTCAATCCATACACTAGTGATTTCCTCGTTGAATTCCGTTTTTCTTTTCAAGTATGCGGATGATATGGTTTCGTGACGAACCGTTACAATACAATCGAATTCAAGAATTTTTCTTCAAGTTCTACGACATTTCGCAAACCCAAGGTCTACATCTTTACTTTTCAAACCGTGCCGAATGTATGTCCACTCTGTCGCTGTACCAATTCTCAGACGACCACATTACGTTTCACGCCATTTACTATGCACATCCACTTTAGTCAAGTACCTTGGTATGAGATTAGAAACTACCCTATCTGATGACTGTCCCATGTAGGAGTTTTCTTTTGTTGCAGTCTGCGTGCTTCCACATTCGTAAACTCAAGCACCTTCGGGGTAACCAGCCCTTCGGTGACATCATAATCCGACGGTTTCCCATTCCGATAATCTTATATGAACCCCTTGTTATTCTTTGAAGTCTGCGCGAAAAGGGCTTAACGGCCCTTCGATAATAATTCGCGCATCAGGCACTCTAAGGGTTATCAGTCACATTTGACTTCGGATGTAGGATTTGCTTTAAGAACTATGACCGATCCTTCACATCCTTTGCATGCCGATCTCTAAAACGTCGTTCGCATACAGTGGCTAATTCCAAACTCCTATTACATCACTCAAGTATTATACGACGAATTCGTCGTGCAAATGAGATATGAGCGGAGAAGCTAGGACAAATGCCTCAACCTAGTTGGGTCTAAACAGCAGTGCGAATACACCGATCCCCTTTATGTCTCCGTACCGAATCATATTTTCGGGGAATAAAGTACAAACCTACGTAGTCATTTCGGCCCCAACTAGGAAGACAAAAAACAGGCTNTATATATATATATATATATATATATATATATATATATATATATATATATGAATTCATGACAAAGTGCTTCATCTGAAATCGAACATAGCAAGTTTACACTGACCAAAAAGAAGCAGTGAATGAACACATGGTTATGCAGCAAACTGACGGATAACTATGCAATCATTGAGAAGAAATTCGTTTGACGCGAGGACATATAGTGCAGACCTGAAGAGATGACGAATCGAAAACCGAGAATATTCATCAAAAATATTTGAACAGTGCATAAAACAGATTTCCGAGCTTTTCAATCATGTTCAAAACAATTTCGAAACTGTTTGAAACTACCATACCTGAACAAATCCATAAGATGACAGTTTTTTTGAAAATTTGCATCATGAGCTGTTGGCCGGTAATCAGTCACAGACCACATTAGATATCATTGGACAACTGCGCTACTGCGCGTTCAGCAAAGCTGACTGGTACTGTCTACCTCGAACATTAGTTTGACCGGTCTACTGTTTAATTTTTTCTGATAACTGTGTTCAGCATTTGTAGGTGAAGCACAATCAACAAAATATGACCACCAAAAGCCGCTGGTGGACGAAAGCAGTACTGTGTAAAGCGTGAATTGCGAAGGTCGACGTCAAGATTAGCCGATACGAAAGTACCAAGGTAACCAGCTATTTAGAATTCTACCCCTAATTGGGTTGATGAATGCGCACTGCTGATGAGACCCAACTAAATCGAAACAGTTGTCCAGTGCTCCATCATCATCATCATCATCATCATCATCATCATCATCATCATCATCAACGTACAGCGAGATACAGTGAAGCGAGCTTCACTGATCGCTGCCAAGCTCACAATGTACACAAATCAAATGATAAAACACAAGAATGGTGAGGGATTGGGCCTACTTGGAGGGAGGCAAAGAAAAAGAACCTCTATGTTTAACACAGAGTACACAATCTAAGTGTTCATGCATGCGTTTTCAAGCATTCTGCCTTGTTAAGAAATGACAACAAGAGCGCCACTGCTGTCGGTCAGTCGCCATATCCTTTAATGCCTCCAGCCAACCAGTTGNGGAAGACGGGAAACACCGATTCTACCTAATCGCTCCGTGTATTTCATCTGTTGATCACCACGCGGTTTATTCCAACTTGGAGCCGTAACTGCGAACAAGGCGCAGTGCGGCAGACGATAGCTGGACATGCGCAATACGTGTCCTAACCAGCGAAGCCGACGAATCTGAATTCGATGGGACAAAGAAGTCTCCATCGAATCATTACCAAATACGCGACGGCTCACCTCAGAGTTGCTTACAAGCTCGCTCCATTCAACCCGCGCCAAACT